ATGCCCAAAACCTAGCATATAAGAGAAACAGAAAGAGTTATAAGGCCAAGGTCACTAAATGTCATCACGTAAGTAGGTACCATTCTGAGCACAAGGCTGCATCTGGCTGTGGCAGAGCAACCAAGTGTGATTCCTCCAGGTATCACATCTGTCATTATCAGGGATTTGTTTATTGGCCAAATTTCTCTCCATGCAAACTTATTTTTGTTTAGAAAGCTCACTGGGGATTACCAAGGGAGACAATTTGTAGAGACAGAGTCCTTTGACTTATGTGTCATGCTGAAGTCCACTATCATCTACATCTGTCTTTCTTGATCCATCTTTTAAATGATAGTACCCTGCATATCACTTCAGATTTTGATTCATAGTCACAGCTAAAGAGAAGCAAAAGTATTCTTCAAACACACAGAACTCAGTCCATTACCAAGATGAGACTGGCAGGGAACGCTGTGACATCCAAAGACAAGTGTTACAGGATACATAGGAATCAAAAGTTTTCCCTCAAACTATTCTCACTGGCGAGTATTCTAATGGTTATTAGAAATGGGGGGAAAAATCTATTATATCAGTCTGAGCAATTTCTAGAGGATGGTTTAAGAGAAAAGGAAAAAAACAAAGAAACTTCGGCTCCCTTCTTCCAAAAAATATTCAGAGCAAAGATTATCTCCTAGGCAAATGGGGAAAACAAGAGTCTGCTGAATAGCAATGGGTAATTGGCTGGATTTGGGACATAGAACAGGCTACCCCTAGGCCATCCACAGGGAAAAAGTAGGTAGGAAGTTGAAAACAAAGGTGTTTAGCTTGAAGGACTGATGTGGCTGGAAATATTTAGGAGACTTCAGAGAAAGGCAACTAACAGCGAGTACTGGAATGCCTCATAGTTTGAATGACCATGAAAAGTTCTCATAAACTTTTGATTTCTGAAAGATCAATGTTTTCAAAATTCCATGGCATGGAGGCACCACACAGAATAGTGCCCTGACATGCAAATGTGGTCTTTAGACCAACAGCACCTGCATGGCCAGGGAGCTGGGCAGGTGCAGAAGTGAATATGCAAAGCCAGAATTTGCGTCTTTAACACACCAGTGGGCTGTGGCACGTGCAGTTGAGAACCACGGTGGCAGTGTTGCCCAAATTCTGGTCTTTGTTCACCAATTTTCCATGGTGACAGAAATACAAACATTTAAAATGACAAATTCACCCAATTTAGGGAAACGCCCTTTATTCTGAGGTCACGTGCTTTCTCTGTTGACATTTTTACATATGTCCTAACAAAATACAGTAAAGGCAATTAAGTGATCTCCCTAACAGCGAGTCATCTCGTACTTCAAGGGAACCAAGGTGAATTTGAAGACGCATGTCCTGTGCCTAGAATATTCTGCTTACTCCACTTTGCCTTATCAGGCCTAAGTCTCTCCTGGAACCATAGTGTGACTACCATGCATTGGCTTCCTATGGCTGCCACAACAAAACACCACGAACTGGATCGCTTGGTTCGTAGTCTCACAGTTCTAGGCTAGAAGTCCGAAGTCAAGCTGCCAGTCAGCCTCTCTGAGGACTCCAGGGAAGGGCTCCCTCCTTGCCTCTTCCTAGCTTCTGGGGGCTGCTGGCCACTCTCGGTGGTCCTGGGCTTGTGGTTACATCACTTCAACCTCAGCCTGTCTTCATACCACATTCCTTCCTGAGTGAGTCCACATCCAAATTCCTCTCATCTTACAAGGACGCCAATGCATGAGAGCTCAGCCTAACCCGACATGACCTCATCTGAACCTGATTACACCTGTAAAGACCCTGTTTCCAAATAAGGTCACATTCACAGGGTGCCTGGGCTTAGGACCTGAACGTACCTTTTGGGGGATACAATGCAACCCACGGTTGCAGTACAACCCACAGTTGTGCAGTCGTACATTTTAAAAAGAAAATATCCTGATAATTCTCAAAATTATATGATAAATGCTGTAATACTTTCAAACTAAAGCACAAAATAAAAATATTAAGAGTATACTGTAATAAAGCTAGTACAGGACCAAGAATTTGTGTTCTTGTTTCATAAATTGCTGTCACGGTAGAATGCATAAATTACAGTGTGTATAGAGATTTGGCTTAGATTTTTTCCCTCACTTCCAAACTGCATCAGCCCTTAAATCTTTTTTTTTTTTTTAATTTCTAGCACCTTCTATACCACTTACACTTTTTAGCTCCTTTCTGAACATCACTGCTTGATATTAATATCTGATTTGTTAGTTTTTGTCTCACAAATCTTGGTATCAGGAATTACCTAAAGCCAATCTGTGATCAGCCAATCAAGCTCCTTGGGAAGTCCCAAGCCACACCAACTGGCCAGGTCTTTAAGAATGCTGTGAATCTAACAGTATTTGTGAAGCACTGTTTCAGTTTAGGGATAATCAGCAGGAGCTTTCAGTCAGAAACCTGTATGTTTGAGATTTCAATGTTGTATTGCAATATTACATAAAGTATTATATAAGGTATGGCATTCATGTGGTTGGTGCTTCTGGTGCAGCAAAATGTTGAACACTAGTCACTGGAAGGTGAAATACTGCCTTAATAAGCTAAAAGGCATGCAGACACAGCTCATGAACGTATATTCATTAACAGGATACTGGTAAGCAACAGTTCTTCATTTTTCATCATACCCCTGTCAAGCTACAGAGATTCCTTTTCCAGAAGAAAGAAAGTGAACACAGAGTACAAAGGAGTTTAAAGATTAGGCAAACATTCCTTTAGGCAAAGAAGTTTAAAGATTAGGCAAACCACCTACCTAACAGGCAAACGGCTGGAAGGAGGGGAACTGTTTTCCATCTGGGAAACAATGCTGTGCAAATCCACCAATGATAAGAGAAGGTGACAGCTTGGTTTGGGGTGACTTATATTTTGGGTTAGCACTGTAAAGTGCCACACCTGCTCTTGCAAAAACTAATTTTCTATGTGTTTCACTTAATTTCCTCTATTAGAGGGAAGGACTACAACTAGTAAAAAGTAAAAACATATTTGGAAGATACCACGAAATAAGAGTGCTAAAGGTCAAAGCCTGATGAACAGAATTTGATCAGTTGACCTGTGATGCTTGACACCATATTTTATCAAGGTTATCATTTCATACAAAATATGGTGTCTCCAGTTCAGAGGAAATGGCAACCCACTCCAGAATTCTTGACTGGAGAATCCCATTGACACAGGAGCCCGGCGGGCTACAGTCCATAGGGTCCCACAGAGTTCGACATGAGTTTGCGTGACTTAGCACGCAAACATTGTTTCATATGGGGGCTTCCCAGATGGTGCTAGTGGTAAAGAACCCGCTAGTTAATGCAGGAGACATAAAAGATGTGGGTTCTATCCCTGGCTCGGGAAGATCCCTGGAAGTGGGCATGGCAACCCACTCCAGTATTCTTGCCTGGAGAATCCCATGCACAGAGGAGCCTGGAAGGCTACAGTCCAAGAATCGCAAACAGTCAGACACGACTGACGCAACTTAGCACGCATGTTTCACATGAGACAGAAGAAACATAGAAACTGCATCTTCCAGTCCTCCTCCTAACTCATAACCCCACCTGGTTTCTTACTTGGACTTCCCACTGCGCCCATGTGCTCCTTCTCCAGGTCAGAGAGGAAAAAAAAAGTGTGGGGAAAGGAGCACTTGAAAATAAAGAAAAAGCAAAAGCATAACCAACACTTGCTGGAGAAATGGATTTTTTTTTTTTTAGGAAATCTGACTATGGTTCTCTACAGAGAGGCAGACCACGTGGATGTGGCAAGTGCAGTAGCATTAGAAGCTCTGACAACACCGATCCTTACAAGTCAGGGGTGTCCTTTCGGACTTCCTAAACCTTCTAGGAATAGCTGTCTTGCTCCTAGCATTACCAAGAACATGGCAGGTACCAGGCATAGGAGTGGCTGAAAGTGGAGCAAATGCCTTGGTGCTTGAGGGGCCTCAACCACAGTCCTCTTACAGGCATTCTGGATCCCTCAGGGCCTGGGCACTTGTAGACCAGTTAACACCTCCGTGCCCCAGGTCTGAGTCAGGTTTCTTTTTAACATACCTTCAGAGACCACATTCCTTCAGAACTCCAGCCTGGGTTGGTTTGTTTTTAACATTCATTAGTATCATAAGTGGATTAACACTGCATCCCCCAATGGACTGTAAGCTTGCCAGGCCAGAGCAGTGCAGGCGGGTACCTTGCAGTGTTGGAAACCACAGCAGCTCATAAAGCCGGCCCACAACTATCTGTTGACAGAAAGGGGTGGCACGCCCGGGCACACGTTAGACTTGAGGGATCTGACTAGAGGTAATGGTTTTGAACTCGAGCCCCTCCCTGGGGCTGTAAAATCCAAATGAGACTTAATCTGAGAATGCACACATCTGAGAGTGACTCCAGACTGTTAAACACTAGTAAACCTTGATACAAAGCAGAGATGTACTCTATTGTTGATTTTTACCACGCAGGACAAAAACACAGAGATTATGAATTGGGAAGGCTTTCGTTTATTAAAAAAAAAAAAAAAACTCTGCTGGGTGCCTTCGGGTGTGAGTGCTACAGAAGAAGCAAAGATCATGCAGAATAGGCTCTGCTTCCGAGGTGTTTATAGTCTTACAAAGACACATTTATAAACAGCTAGCATACAGCCTGAAAGGTCTCCGAAGGAAGAAATGCGTTTCCATAAATCCTTGTAATTTCAGTGCAAAGGAAGGGATTTGAAGCAAGGGAAGCTCAACGTGGAAGAGCCGAAGAACACACTCAACTGCAGGCGTCGCCCCAAGTCCTTCACATCCCTCGCTGGGGACAATATCGCAGTCTCTAATGGGCTTCCCTACACCCTGAACTAACAGCAGACCAAGAAACGTAAACCCAACGGGCAAGTACGCGGAGAAGCAGATCACAGAGCCGGGCCACCCTCGGGCGGCGCGCCCCAGCACTGGGATCCCGGTCCCCGCACCCCGCCGCCCGCGCCCCCGGCCCCGGCCCGCGCCCCCCGCCTCGTACCGTAGGTCTCGGACATGGCCGTCTGCGACATCTTGGGAGCGGCTCCGCCTCTCGCGGGGCGCCGCTGCGGCTCCGCCGGTCCGGCGGCAGGGAGGCCGGGGGTCGGCCGCGCCTCGGTGGGGCACGCGAGGGGCAGCGGAGCGGAGCAGGGAGGGGGCCCGCGGTCCCCACGGCAACTGCCGACCCCCAGCGGCTGCGGCCCCGCCGGACTGCGGGCTCCGCGCAGGCGCACGGCCCCGCCCCGCCGGTCTGGACGCGGAGGGGAGGGGAGGAGAGGGGAGGGGGGGAGGGGAGGGCGGGGGCGGAGGGGCGGGGCGGGGAGGGCGGGGGCGGAGGGGCCGCGAGGCCCGGCCCTCGCTGGGCGCGCGCGCGCGCGCGGGGCGGCTGGGGTGGGTCTGGCGAGGGGCGCCGCCGAGCCGGGGGCGGGGGCGCGCGGGGAGGTCGGAGGGGCGCGGCTGGCCAGCAGAGGCTGCAAGGGTGGGGAGGCGCCGGCGGCCCGCTGGCCCGGGGGTGACAGGGAGGGGCTGGGGGTGTCCGGGGCTGAGCCAGCAGGGTCCGCTCCCTCACAGAGGAGGCTGAGTGCCCTCCTTGGAGAGGAAGACCGCTCTTTGCCAGGTGGGCCGCCTCCGCAAAGGCTTGGTCGTTGTCATCTGGGGCACTCGGCCAAGGAAGGACTTCCTCTGAGCTGTAATGATCAACCCCGGTCGGGCGGAATGTGTAACTAGGAGGCGGTGGCCGCAGGTGTCCAGCGGGAGGCCAGCGCTGCCGGCTGGGAGGCAGGCTGACCTGCCGGGGACGGAGCTTTCACTCCTCACCTGCGGGGCCCTCTCCGGTGAGGCTGAGCTGGCGTCCGGGGAAAGCTGACACAATCTCAGGATATACCTGTTCCTAGAAAACTGTAGTCATCGCCCCTCTGCACCCCACTTTAGGGGAATGTGGCCTTTGGACAGGAAGCATCTCTAGGCCCTCAGCCGCGGGTGCATTTTCTACGTGTAGCAGTCGTTGGTTGAATATTTTGATGTAAGGAACACAGCTGAATTCAGAATCCCCTTCTGTTGGCAATGTAGCGATAAACAGGAAGAGATTTTTGGATGGGATTTTGCTCTTTTGGAGCATGATCAGGACCACGTGGTATCGCGTAAGACTCAACCTTTTTCAAAAGACACAGAAGAATATTGAGGGTATGCCCTGGCTAAGCTCCCTGTGACTTGGATGGTGAGGGCAATGCCAGAAAATACATTTTATTCAAGTCCATTTGCGTCTGTCTTCCAAATTGGCATCAGTCCTTTCCTAGGGTCATTCCTCTCCTCCCCAGCGGCTATCTGGCTTTACATGGTTCCTCTCTCTGCTTCTCCTAGAAAATAGATACTCTGCTTCTACATCATAGAGGAGCCCTTCCCCGGCCAGCTCTCCGCTGGGCAATGTGGTAGGAACTGTAATTCTCTAAGATTATTTTGTATGTATCCCTGGTTCAGTGGCTGGAACACATTGTTGCTTTCTTCAGGTTAGGTTTGATCTACACTGCTGAGTATAGTAGTCTTCCTCTGTTTAGAGCTATTTCAGAAGAAAGATGGTGATCCCATTCTTTACATCTAAGTGTTCTTGTCAGGAACTTCTGTGGATGACAAGAAAGAAATCAACGAGTTATTGAAACTGGACCTGATGAATTGTGAAACCTGGACAGGGTGACAGAAATAAAAATTAAATGACTGTTTCAAAAGTGAGAGCAGTTTTCCTAAGAAGACGAATACTTAGATGAGCCTTCAGGAAAGACTGTTCAAGAAACCACCCGGAGAAGCCATTTTTGTTTTAGTTTGCAAATATAAAGCCAAACATCACAACTGGAAGGGGAAATACTCAAGAACTGAGGTTTGAAGGAGTCAGGCTTACTTGAATAATAATGTGAAAGGTGATTTGCATCTCAGCAACTTTTGAATCTCCGAGAGAAAATACATTTCTCTTAAGTGTTCTTGCAGACTGTTTTGATTCTGAGGTACTGATGACTGTGTGTAAGGGAAACTACCACAAAATTAATTTGTGTTTTCTTCAGCTCTTCTCTCCTTTCTCTTCAGGGAAGGCTTCGATAAGCCAAGGCACACTGGGAGATACTTCTGAAGGAAATGAAGGGAGAAGGATTTCTTCCAAAATAGATACTGCCTCCTCCTCAGGTCAGTGGGCACTTTCCTTTTTGTTCCCTGACATGCCTCGCATTTAACAAGCAATTAGGAGCTTTGGAGACTGCCAGGCTCCCAAAAAGTCCTATTCCCCAGGACTGGCAGAAGCCCGCATGGACAGGGACAGTGGGACAGATGGGCTCCTAGGTACAGGGCTGGACCTGGAGCAGCGGCCTCATCCCCTGGACGGGCCTTAGAAAGATCTAGGGGTGAGAATCCTGCATGACCCTGACATTTCGGGGAGCGGTGACACTGGGAGCAAAAGGACGTGGCATCTTGGCAGTGCCAGGCTTGGCGGAAGGCACTGGTCACAGTCTGTGTCCCAGCGACTCTCTTGCCAACTGTAGGCAAAGAACAGGAGCCAACTTGTGTGTGAGTGTTTGGGGACTCAGAAGTATCTGGATGATACTGTGAGAAGGTGCCAAGTTCTGCTCTGCACAGGTTGGTGGAGGCTTGAAAAGGTCCCTTAGTTAAACACTCAGGCTGGTGACACCTGTGACATATAACTCAAAGTTTTAAGGTGGAGGAGACCGCAGAAGCTGCTGAACTGGTTTGCCTTCTAGGGCCAAACAGAACTACCTCTGTAATGGGATGTGTGTGCTGTCAGGGGGTATTCAGTCAGCATGGGCTAAGTTGGCTACAGTAACAAGGTCCCTTAGTTAAACACTCAGGCTGGTGACACCTGTGACATATAACTCAAAGTTTTAAGGTGGAGGAGACCGCAGAAGCTGCTGAACTGGTTTGCCTTCTAGGGCCAAACAGAACTACCTCTGTAATGGGATGTGTGTGCTGTCAGGGGGTATTCAGTCAGCATGGGCTAAGTTGGCTACAGTAACAAAGAGGCCCCAACATGTCTGTGAAGGCCGTCTCTCCCTCAGACTGCCTGCCCCACTCCCTCGTCCTGGCAGAGACTCGGCTCCGCATGCTGTTGGCAGACCCAGGCTGACCCAAGGCTCAGCTGTGCGTGGACTCCCACCATCTCTGGGGCAGAAGAAGGACATGGCACCACGTGATTAGCTTGTGAGGACCAATTGGGAGCTAACAGAATCACTTTCATTGACATTTTACAGGCCAAAGCAAGTGGTGTGGTTACAGCTCAGGCAGAGAGCACGATGTCATTCTTGCTCCAGAGGGAGAGAAGAGAGAGGGCTATGGAGAGACGTTTCCCTGCCCTCCCCTGCCACCTCCGCCCCTGGGACTCTCACCTGTGCAGGCAGCTCTTTCTGCTTTTATTTTGAACAAATGCACTGAAGTATAACTGACGTTTAAACTACACACTTCAGTGATTTTTGGTGTCTGTGTATACCTGTTGTCACTGTGACTTGGATGTCCCTGCTTCCAAGCCTTTAAGGTGGACAGAGGCATTTTTTAATGATTCTGTTTCATCTACTTTCTGCTTATTAGGAATAAGTACATGTGAGATTATGTTCGTGGTTGTTTTAGGGTCTTTAGTGGTAGTTTAGTGGTTGTTTTAGGCCTTGGGGCTTCCCTGGTGGCTCAGATGATGAAGAATCTGCCTGTAATGCCGGAGCCCTGGGTTCGATCCCTGGGTCGGGAAGATCCCCTGGAGAAGGGAATGGCTACCCACTCCAGTATTCTTGCCTGGAGAATCCCATGGACAGAGGAGCCTGGTGGGGTACACTGGGGTCACCAAGCGCCAGGCATGACTGAGCAACAGTCACTTCACTTCACTTCGGGCTTCACTTGGTGTTAGAGTCCGCCTGCCAATACAGGAGACACAGGTTCAGGCCCTGGTCTGGGAGGATCCCACATACCAAGGAGCAGCTGGGCCTGTGTGCTGCGGGTAGCGAGCTTGTGCTCTAGAGCTCGGGAGCCACAGCCAATGAGGCCAGAGCACCCTAAAGCCCCTGCTCGGCAACAGGAGAGGCCACGGCACTGAGCAGCCCTCACACCGCTGCTGGGGAGTAGCCCCTGCTCGCTGCAACTAGGGAAAAAGCCCATGTAGCAACAAAGACCCAGCGCAGCCAAAAATAAAAAATTTTCCAAAAACAACAATTTTATAGTAAATTCTTTACCTCATCACTGTCCACCTTCCATTCCCAGCAGCTCACCCCTAGCTTCCCCACCCTCTGTGCTGTGCATCTTCTATCCTCACATTTCTTATACACCCCACAAATGTTGTTACTATTTTTGCTTTCTTTAAGCAGCCAGTTTACTCTCTTTTTAAAACTGTGATAAAGTTCCTCTCGTGAAATTGGTCATCTCAACCATCTGACTTGAAGAGTACAGTTCAGTCATTCAGGCCCTCTGTGACTGTCGGGGATTGGTCTCAGCAGCCCCTGTGGATACCCAAATCCTTGGATGCTCAAGTCCTTTGGATAAAATGATGTACAGTTGGTCCTCTGTTTCTGTGGTTCCACAGCCACAGATTCAACCAACCACAGAGGAAAATTTCAATCAGTGGTTGGTGGAATCTGTGGATGCAAAACCCATGCATATGGAGGGTCCACTGTATATTTATTGAAAAAAAATCCATATATAAGTAGACCCCTGCAGTTCAAATCTGCAGTGTTCAAGGGTCACCTCTATTTACGGTGTTCAGCCATCACATCCTTCATTCACAATATTCTTTCCATCTTGCAAAAATGTAACTGTACCCATTAAACACTGACTCCCATTGCCCTTACCCCCTACCCCAGACAACGACCATTCCATTTCTCTGTCTACAAATTTGACTGCATCATGTGGATGCAATCACACATTTGTCTGTTTGTGACTGGCTTATTTCACTGAGCATCATGTCTTCCAGGGTCATCCATGTTGTAGCATATGTCAGAATCACCTTCTTATATATTCCACTGGATGTTTTACCACATTTTCCAGCAAATTCCTTGTT